GATAGCTAAAGAATGCAAAACCAACCCCAACATTTTTTCAAGTACATCAATTCTAAAAAAACACAAAATGAAAGTGTAGGTACACTTGAAACAGAGTTGGGTTTATTAGCTAATGAAGGCCAGGAAAAAGCATAAATTTTAAATAACTATTTTTCTTCAGTATATATTAATGAGGATCCTATGGCAAGAGATATGCAAATGATTGCTGCAAAAAACTTGCACATAACTTGTGATTGGATAACTCGAGACAAGGTGCTACAGCTATTAAAGAAAATTAATGTAAATAAAGCTCCGGGGCCTGATGGTATCCACCCACGAGTACTTAAGGAGCTAAATGGGGAAATAAGTGAACCTCTGTATTTAATTTTTCAAGATTCTTTTGTTTCAGGTGTTGTACCGGAGGATTGGAGGAAGGCAGATGTTGTTCCTATATTTAAAAAGGGTTCAAAATCCTTGCCTGGAAATTATAGACCTGTGAGCTTAACTTCTGTAACTGGGAAAATATTTGAAGGGCTATTAAGGGATAATATTCAGGAATTCATTGGGAAGAACTTTGTTATTAGCAATAATCAGCATGGTTTTATGAAACATAGGTCATGTCAAACTAACCTAATTGCATTCTACGAAGAAGTAAGTAGAAGTATAGATCAGGGTGTTGCAGTGGATGTGATCTACTTGGATTTTGCCAAGGTATTTGATACGGTTCCTCACAATAGGTTAGTCTTCAAACTAAAAGAAATTGGTCTAGATGAATATTCTTGTTCTTGGGTAGAACATTGGCTTAAGGATAGAGTACAACGAGTTGTAATTAATGGTAAATTTTCAGGCTGGACAAAAGTGGTAAGTGGTGTCCCTCAGGGTTCTGTTTTGGGACCACTTCTATTTAACATATTTATAAATGATCTTGAAATAGGCATTGAAAGCCATGTATCAGTGTTTGCAAATGACACAAAACTTTGTAAAGTAATAAAATGTGAGCAGGATATTGCTTTGCTGCAGAGAGATTTGGATAGATTGGGGGACTGGGCACTAAAATGGCAGATGAAATTTAACATAGAGAAATGCAAAGTTATGCACTTCGGGGTTAAGAATGCACAAGCAACTTACACACTAAATGGTAGTGAATTAGGGATAACCACACATGAGAAGGATTTGGGAATTGTTATAGTCAACAAATTAGGCAGCAATATGCAATGTCAATCTGCAGTTGCTAAGGCCAGTAAGATTTTGTCATGTATAAATAGGGGCATAAATTCTCGGGATGAAAATATAATTTTGCCTCTTCATAAATCGCTGGTAAGACCACACCTTGAATATGCTGTGCAATTTTGGGCGCCTGTTCTAAAGAAGGATATCATGGCACCTCAAAAAAATTACTGGGACAAAAAGAAATGCACTGGGTGTTCCTTTTAAAAACCCTTAGCCCCGAAGGTCTTAATGTAGAGTTCGACCTGTTTAATTTTTTATAATTTTTTAATAATTTTTTATAATTAATTTTTTATAATATATTTCTTATATTTTATCTTCTATAATTATTTTGTGCATGAAGTATATATTTATATTTTGCGACTTTTACACGTGACTGTTCTATCTAAATATAATATGCAAGGTTTTGTGAGTATAAAACCTCTTTTTTAATTTTAATTTTAAACTATCACATGTTTCCAATATAGGTATGTATTCACTGATACATATAAAGTTTAGCACTTTTGAAAAAAAAAAAAAAAATGGCCACCGATGATGTGACTGTTCTATCTAAATATAATATGTAAGGTATTGTGAGTATAAAACCTCGTTTTTAATTTTAAACTATCACATGTTTCACATATAGGTATGTACTCACTTACACATATAAAATTTAGCACTTTTTAAAAAAAAAAAAAGGAATGATGACATCATTTTGGCGCCATTTTCAAATATGTTCACTGCCTATATAAACCTGTATGTAACAGGATGTACTTTCTGATCTCCACTTGATAAAGCCTAAGGGCGAAACGCGTTGTGGTTTTTTAAACTATGTTGTTTTAAATAAAGGTATTTTGGCCACTTTCTTACTGTGAGCTAGCCATCTTACTTTTTATTTCTATTATCATTTTACTTTTTTACTACTACCATTCTTTTATCCGGCACCAGAAGTGTTTTTACTTTCCAGTGAGGATATTACTCCCAAGAATCCTAGGTGGGGATTATACCACTCAAGCTGTATTCATTGAGCAGTTAGTCTGTTCAACTAAATGTGAGTAACCACTTGGTTTTTTATTTTCTCACCTCTGGCATTTTATACTTTGAGCACTATTGCTGTTCCCGCTTTTATTTCCACATATGGTTCCCTAATCAAGAAAGAATACTAAGACCTCACGTATCCCATAAGTGGGGATTATACCACTGTATGTTATCAACACTAGAGCTAAGTCCATAGCTCTTGAAAACGTGAGTAGGACCATATACTCTTTTATTGCTTCTACCCCCTTTGGGACATACTATACCATCAGTTGTTATTTTCTCATTTCATATGATGTACAAAGATGCATCTACACCACTCTGAAGAATCCCCCACTACAAAAGACTATATTCACCTCTACAAAGATATACCTAGTTGTTTGATTCATCTACCAGTCATACTATTTATTCTGGACTTCTATTTGCTTATTATCTATTATATATATTGCATTCTAGTCTGCCTATTCTATGCTCTTTTAATTTATGTGGTTTGTAGTGGCGCTGCCTTCCTTTCATTTTTCTATATAATATTTAATACCCTACTAATCTCAACATCTGAGGAATGAGATTTAGGAGTAATTATTTTGCATGACTTAAAGGTAGGAAGACAATATAATAGAGCAGCAGGAAATGCTAGCAGAATGCTTGGTTGTATATGAAGAGGCCTTAGTAGTAGAAAGAGAGAAGTGCTCATGCCATTGTACAGAACACTGGTGAGACCTCACTTCACTTGGAGTATTGTACGCAGTACTGGAGACCGTATCTTCAGAAGGATATTGATACTTTAGAAAGAGTTCAGCAAAGGGCTACTAAACTGGTTCATGGATTACAGGATAAAACTTACAAGGAAAGGTTAAATGATCTTAACATGTATAGTTTGTAGGAAAGACGAGACAGGGGGGATAAAAATTTAAATTTAAATACATAAAGGAAATCAACACAGTAAAGAATGAGACTATATTTAAAAGAAGAAAACTACCACAACAAGAGGACAGTCTTAAATTAGAGGGGCAAAGGTTTAAAAATAATATCAGGAAGTATTACTTTACTGAGAGGGTGGTGGATGCATGGAACAGCCTTCCAGCTGAAGTGGTAGGGGTTAACACAGTAAAGGAGTTTAAGCATGTGTGGGATAGGCATACTGATATCCTAGATATAAGATAAGGCCAGGGACTAATGATAGTATTTAGAAAATTGGGCAGATTAGATGGGCCGAATGGTTCTTATCTGCCGTCTCAATCTATGTTTCTATATACCTCGGTGTGTTATATACAGGTTATACAATAACCCCCCAATTATAGTAAATTGAAAGTGGATTGCAAAATTGAAGCTCAAGTAGCCAAACTGTTGAGTTGGAAAATTTCTCTAAATAAGCTATTGTTGCCTTAATTTTGCCAGTTAAAATTCAGTTTGCTACATGTCATAGTATATTGAATAGACCCCATTTCGTAAAAAGGTAGTAAAACAACACCAAAAACATCATGTGCAGATGGTTTTATATGGGCCTGATCTATCCAGTATACATATGTGAATGCAATTGTGGATCTGTATATGCCCTCAATTGATCAGGTATATAATATTTGCTATTTGGGTGTTACTTGGAAAAGTCAAGAATTGACACATTTACAAACATCTTCAGAAAGATCAATTTTTACAATTCACTTTTCCTTTGTTATTCTTTAAAGATGTAAGCTCATATAATATACTGCCTGGTGGTTAGGATTGGTGTGTCATAATTAAATAATGGTAATAATTACACATAACATTCTAGGTTGGAAAAAAGACCCTCTAAGTTCAAACCTAGACCCCCAACACACAGAACTTAGGTGAGCGCTAAAAAAGGGAGTCAGAAAAAGGCAACAAGAGAAATCTGTATAGTCGGTTAATGTTAGGGAAACACAATGATAGAATGATCTGTTAGGGAAGTCAAGGTACAAAAAGTCAATAAACTAGCCGGAGTCAAAATACCAAAGAACACTTACAGTTAGGTACACGTTATAAGCCAGAGCAAGGTACTGTTTGTGAAGAGGGTATTTATGAGAGAGAAAACAACCTAAATGACCAGAGTCATAATTGTGACGTCAGACATCAGTGTTGCAATCTCACCACGGGAGCACTGTCAAAATGAATTCAAGGGACTGAGTTGCCATATAATGCAGCAAAAGGGTCTAATATGGGGGTCGGAGCCTGGCAGCCACTATGAACAGTCGCACACACTGAGAGCTCCGTGCAATCTTGCTCCTAACTAAGCGATAAATGCAAATCTGCTACTTGAATCATACATCTCTTGACACCACAGTATCATTCCTAGCTCTCAAACCAGTTGTGTTCCTAACCCTGATCGGTGGTTTACCCCGGAGGAGACTCTGCGGCCTACAAGGGGCCTACTAGCAGTGTGCGAGAGGGAGGCAGCCGATCCCTCAGCCTACTATCAAGCACTTATCCGGGAGGACTATCCTGCACCCTCTCCCACCCCCAGCCAGTGGGGGTTATCCTGGCAATTTTCAATGGTGTCTCACTGGTACAGTTCCCTCTACTACACACTTGGGACTACCCACCTGCCATGACCAAGATGGGGGGTATCCTGGCAAGATGGGGGTTATCCCGGCAATTTTCAATGGTGTCTCACTGGTACAGTTCCCGCTACTACACACTTGGGACTACCCACCTGCGATGACCAAGATGGCGGTCATGGCAGGTGTAACTTAGCCCTCGACCTAAGAAACTGACTCTGTTGGAGAAGCTTGACGCCCTGTTCGCAACCTTCTGGTCCACACTAGCCACACGCCGGCACAAGCCTGCTGGAGTCCAGCTAGAGCCAACCTTGCCGCTTACAACGGGGCAGCCTGTGACTCCTGGGCGACGCTATGGCGCAGCACTGTCACCAAAAAGGAAGAAGCGGGTGCCACGTAAACCACTCCTGCGCCGAAGAATCCACCTGGCAATGTTCAGCAGCTTTCCTGAAACACGGTCCCAACCGGGAAAATTACCTGGACACAACTCGCTACCTCAGAAGAGCCACACTACCCATGAATGCAAGCAACCCCTTAAAGGGCCTCAAAGTCAGGTCCCAATCCCAACTGGAACTAATGGGACTGGCGAAATGGGCATTGTTAAGACCTGGGGCTGGTGGAGTGCCGAGGCATGGGACTGGAATCCTTCTATTAGCTGGGACAGTGTCCAATCTATGACAGGAGTGGGCTAAATGCCAGAGTGTCATACCCCCTCTTATTTTGTACCCTTCCATTCCAATTGCGGGTTTCTGTTATACTTTATTTTCTTTGCTTAGCTTTGGTATGAATCATAATTTGCAAAGGCTACAGCATGTTTCCTGGGGTTCAATTTACCCCTCTATATCCTTACAGGCTCCCAGTTGCCTTCCCATAAGACATACTCTCCTAATCCATGTTGCCCTATCTTTGAGCGCAGCACGGGTGCACTGACCTGCTGCAACCAGTGAGCACTCCTAGTTTCTACCATCTGTCAAGCAGGCTCTTATATTATATAATTATTTGCAAACTTGTTTTATGTTTTAAATCAATCTACATGTCATGCCGAGAATTCTGTGTAACATATGAGATCAGGCAAGTACCCCTACCACACCCTTTCTATCAAAACAGGACATCACTCTGTGACAAACTATATTATACCATAATAATGTGCAGTGTTATCAAATGCCATACAACTGTTACCCTTTGTCTGTTGATGTGCTTATTATAGCTGTTGTGGCATTGTAAGATTGTATATTTTATCTCTGCACAACTAAAATAAATAAATAAATTTTAAAGGGTCTAATATGACACCAGACACAGAGCAATGACACAGGGAAGATGCTGAGGAACTTGATAATGTGACAAAAAAAATACATAATTATCTCTATTATTCAAGAAAATATTGTTTTATAAAACACAAAAATATTATATATTGTTTGTTACTGTGACATGTCACCACAGACTTGCTTTTTTTGGAAATGATTCATCTATGACTTTCTTTAACCCCTTAAGGACACATGTCATGATTCCCTTTTATTCCAGAAGTTTGGTCTTTAAGAGGTTAAATATTCACTGTTTTCTTATTAATTTCCTGGAAAAGAAACTACGACCATTTTTAATCCTTATCTCTCAGTAGTTTTGTGGTTTACCAACACTTTGCTTATTTGATGGCTGTTTGCAGTTATTGATCTATGTTTTCTGTATATACATTTAATAACACTTAAAATGACCTCATTCTGGTAATTACTTCCTTGTTAAAAAAAATAGCATGCATCTAGAAAAACAACTGAGCCTCATCCAAAATTAAAAGGATTGTGTGAAACAGGCTTAAGTGTTGTTTTAAAGGTTTTGTTAATTCATTATTCTTCCCATTGCCTCAGAAGTGCAACACATCGCAAAACAATTTAAAAACATCTAAATCATTGCATGCTTTAAAGCACAAAATTAATTGGCTTCCAGAAGTTTAACTATTTGGATGTGTGTATTCATAGTTACATAGTTACATAGCTGAAAAGAGACTTGCGTCCATCAAGTTCAGCATTCCTCACATATGTTTTTGCTGTTGATCCAAAAGAAGGCAAAAAACCTAGTCTGAAGTGCTTCCAATTTTGCAACAAACCAGGAAAAAATTCCTTCTTGACCCCAAAATAGCAGTCAGATGTCTCCTTGGATCAAGCAGCTATTACCCCATTAATTAGAAATTATATCCCTGTATGTTATGTTTTTGCAAGTATTTATCCAATTGCAGTTTAAACATCTGTATAGACTCTGATAAAACCACCTCTTCAGGCAAAGAATTCCATTTCTTCATAACTAAAATGCTCCATTCCTTTTATCAATTTCGTAGCTCGTCTCTGCACTTTTTCGCGTGCCATGATATCTTTCTTTAGAACAGGTGCCTAAAATTGCACAGCATATTCAAGATGTGGTCTTATCAGCAATTTATAAAGAGGCAAAATTATATTTTTATCTCCAGAATTTATTCCCTTTCTGGCCTTAGCAATGGCAGATTGACATTGCATATTGCTGCCTAATTTGTTGTCTATAACAATTCCCAAATCCTTCTCGTGTGTGGTTATCCCTAGTTCACTACCATTTAGGGTGTAATTTGCTTGAGCATTCTTGACCCCGAAGTGCATAACTTTGTATTTCTCTACGTTAAATTTCATCTGCCATTTTAGTGCCCAGTCCCCCAATCTATCCAAATCCCTCTGCAGCAAGGCAATATCCTGCTCACATTTTATTACTTTACAAAGTTTTGTGTCATCTGCAAACACAGATACATGGCTTTCAATGGCCATTTCAAGATCATTTATAAATATGTTAAATAGAAAGGGTCCCAAAACAGAACCCTGAGGGACACCACTTACCACTTTTGTTCAGCTTGAAAATTTATCATTAATGACAACTCGTTGTACTCTATCCTTAAGCCAATGTTCTACCCAAGAACAAGAATATTCATCTAGACCAATTTCTTTTAGTTTGAAGACTAACCTATTGTGAGGAACCGTATCAAATGCCTTGGCAAAATCCAAGTAGATCACATCCACTGCAACACCCTGATCTATACTTCTACTTATTGTTATGCTACTTGGGTTATTTGGATTGGAACTCGACTGCAGCTTGTAGAATTCCTTAATTACAATAGTAAAGATACAAAGATTCTTTAAAGTATCAATACTGTAGCTTTAAG